TTATTATTTCCCAACTTTCAGATTTCTTTTACTGTTAGTTTAATCTTTTTCAAATTCATAAACTTCAAATCTTTGATAAAATCTATTTTAGTTATTAATTAAGAGTTAGTTTAATTACAGATTAGTCAAACAATCTTTGGGGACAACGACCTTGCATGAGCATTTATACTACAATTACCTTGTATTCTTGCAAGTATTTTCAGTGATTTTAACCCTGTTTGCGCAGGTACTAAAAATCCTATCAGAATACTTGGAATTATAACTTTAATTTTCTTTAGGTTGTGAATGCTTGAGAAGTTGAGGAGATTGTGAATTTATATATGCTTGAGAAGTTGAGGTTATGAATTTATATTTTTGAATTAAAGTATGCTTGAACTCAAAAGGCTTCAAAAGAAGCATCAAAATTAGGCCTAAAATGTGGAAGATTTGATTTTTATGACACAAAAAGAACTTACGGTTTTAAACCGCTAATTCACGGTAACCGATTGCTTTTTGCGGTTTACTGCAAAAAGCGGTCGGTTTGTGGTTTCAAAAATCACCATACAGCAAATAGTCGGTCAGTTAAAATTCGTGGTTACCGAACCACAACCACTCCTACTTCAGTGTAAGACTTTTATGTTGTTTGATAAAAGTGCCAGTCAATGAAAGTTTTGGTGACCACTAAAACGCGTCTTTACACAAAATGCACGTGTTTTTTTTTTCCAGGAATTTCTATAAATAAACCCAAAAAATGACAACTGATCCTATTGAATTTAAGTTTGATTATAAAATTGCTTTGATACCATATTGAGTATTTTTGGTTTTTTATGAGGTTTGGGGGTTGAGCTTGTTTTAAGAAATTAATGGCAGTTTTGTAATTTATAAGAAGTTAAAAAGCCTTTTTGTTATATTGTAAATGAGCTTTTCTAAAGTCCATTTCATATGGGATATTTTTATAATTTGGACTTTTATATTGGGTATAATAGTGAATCTCCTTTTTATTTTCTGTTTCTCCAGATCGTTGGCCCTAACTACCATGGACTCTTCCTACTTTCACGTGGACAATATAGCACAGAATTCCCAATTCCCGACCCCGGTTTTGGCAGAGCAGCCTAATCACAAACCAAGGTAGCTAGCTAGGATGTAATAATAATTTTTTTTTTTATAAAAAGCGTGGATACCACCAATCCTGGAATTCAATGACTTCAAAATCTTCTAACATCTTACCATACTCATAATCCGTAATTTATAAGAAAATGACAAAGGGCAGGCATACCTTGTCGTCCGAGTGAAGTTGTATTACATATGGTTGCATGGGCCTGATCATGGCAAAAGCAACTGAATCCACCATTAGTAGTGTTAAGCCCACACTTCCCTCCTGATTCCACACAACGGTTACATTGATCATCATCAATCTCCAAGTCCAATTCAGATCCCCCATCTACTGCTTCGCCAAGAGTCATTCGATTGGCCTCTAGAGCCACAACAGCTGTTCTAAAAACCGGAACAATGACCCCATTTTTACAGGCGCCATTAGCAACTGGATCACTTGGGGGACTTTGTGTGGCATACGAAACAGTGATGTTACCATTGTTCGTACTGCAAACTTGGGAACTAGAAGTAAGCCCTGGGACACTTGTATTGCACCCGTAGTAGAAGGTCTGGTTTGTAACCTCAGAAGTATAACTAAATAGCGAGAAGTTGATGTTGGTGTTGACATAAGTAAGAGGACAGATAGTTTCCCAATAGTCCTGCCTAGCAACTGTAACAGACGAAGCAATAGAGTTCATTTTAAGAATTCTGTAGTTGATATTTGACATGTTGATCATGGGGGTATTGTCAAAGCATTTGACCTCCAACCCTGGCGGACCACAGTAATTAGCCCGGTTTACTCCCCAGAAGGGGTACCCGATGCCTCCAACGCCACCGCAGTTAATATCTTCACCGCAGTCTGCGTATTGTTCATTGTCCTGGCCTAGACTTAACTCAACTTTGACCGAAAGAAAGGAAGTGATCAAAAGCAAAGGAAACAACAATTGAAGCAGTAGGGGATGCATATTTGTTGGGAAGGCTCAGGGTGAGAGAAACCAATACAGATTTAAAAATAGAAAAAGCGACATGGAAGCAGTAGGGGATGCATATTTGGTTTTCAGTTGTAGGCCTTTGAAATATTCAACGAATGGGACACAAGACTTTCACATTTTGATAGATACATGGTTCTGCCAAGATTTCAATGGTGGATCTTTTGAATATATTTTTTTTTCGACCAACTAGCTTGTGGTGGTACTCCTGCTTTCAAAATTAGAAAAGATACAAAGTTGCTGAAACACAGAGAGGATTCCAATCTGTTGCGTCATAGGCTTGAGCTTATCCGTGAGAATGGGATGGATACATTTTGTTTACACCATAATCAACCGAGCATATCCAGCATCAAAGCGACTAGCACCAAGGCAGACACGCCTTCTTCCCTGCCGAAGGAAGACACCATTCCAAGGTGCCAGACATCTGCCGAAGCTCCCGACTGCCGAAGCTCACAAACTGCCGAACCTAATCTCCATGACACGTGTCACCACCACGGCGACTTGCACAAAGTCCCATATCAAAATTCTACACAAACCTCCCACTTTCACTTCCCTATAAATAGGGAACAGTACTCTAGTAAAAAGGGTAACTACTTTCTTACCTTTTACTGTTACATAACTCTACTAAAGTTACTACTCTTAGCTAACTTTAGCATCGGAGAGCCTTCGGTTGTCACCACACCGGTGTCCGAAAATTAACGATTGCTTCTCCTACTTTGTCTTCAACAGGCTCAAACCTTACAGAAGGTCTTCACCTTCTCCACTGTTGAAGACAAACCCCTTTTCTCTAAGTTGACCCTCTTCGAAAAAGAGCATCAACACACTTCACTCGAAGAGTAGAGTGGCTGCAAACAAAGTTTCTAATAATATTTCATAATCTACTTTTTCTATTATACAAAAACAGTAGAATTAATGAGAACAGCTTTCATTCTGAGTTTTCGGTTAATAAAAAACGGTTTCATTTTCACCAAGCCAACTTTCTTTCAATTCAACTGGCAGTTCCTAATTACAAAAGATCTTCTAATGAAACTAATTGCCTTAGTCCATTTCAGATGGTTGGTATGTGGTCACAGAATCCATTGCAGATGGTTGGGATGTGGTCATAGTGTCTTCTGCAGCTATTGTAGGAGAAAACAACAAAGGCTTTGGTGCAATTTGCAAGGAATGAAGGGGTCCTTCCAACATCTCTACAACTTTCCTCATTGATGGCCTATCAGAAGGAATGGTTTGAATGCACCAGAGACTTACTAATATCATCTTTCTTGCTATTTCTTTTTCCTCCTCAGATATATCCGGATCCCCAAATGTATTTTCATCCTTATCTAGCTCTAGATCTTTATAAACATAATGTGGAAACATTTCACTCGTATGAGACACTCCCGAATCCAAATTCTTTTTTGCTCCAACCATTTCAAGAACCAACATCCCGTAGCTGTAAACATCAGATTTGTGAGATACTCCTCCAAAGTTCCGACTAAACACTTCTGGTGCAATGTATCCTGCAGTTCCTCTTGTACCCATCATCGATACAATACTGTCCTTCGTTTTGCATAGTTTGGCTAGGCCAAAATCAGCAACTTTCGGGCAAAAATATTTGTCCAAAAGAATGTTCTGTGGCTTGATGTCAAAATGCAAAATTCTTGTGTTACATCCACGGTGTAGGTATTCTAGTCCTCGCGCAATACCAACTGCAATTTCAGATAGTGTTTTCCATTCTAAGCGAAAATTTGCCATTCCAGACCCGTGCTTATGTATGAAATTATCCAGAGATCCATTAGGCATGTATTCATAAATCAAAGCTCGTTTGTCCCCCTCATAACAGAATCCAGAAAGAGTGACTATGTTGACATGGGAGGTTCTACCAATGCTAGCAACTTCATTAATAAAATCTTCTCCTCCATTACCCTTGGACTCACTTAGGACTTTGACCGCCACCAGAAGCCCATCAGGTAGCCTGCCTTTGTACACAGTTCCATATCCACCTTTACCTATTTTGTCTCTGAAAGAGTCTGTCATTTTCATGACATTTTCATAGGTATACCGCTTTGGAGTAAGCGATCCATAGTTCCTTATAAATGCCTCAACATCAAACTCATCCCTCTCATCTCTCTTGAGGAAGGCCATTATTCTTTTCCTTGATATGCATATAGTAAAAAAAAGGATTATGATAATCAACAGAGCAGCAACCCCAATGCCTTCTCCTGAAACAATCACAAGATAGAGAAATGTAAATCAATAAATGAATATATGTATAATCCATTGATTGAAAAAAGACCATGCCAACAGACATTTTGTACTTACATGTTGCTAATTTCACTAAATCTAGTCACTTTGTTGCCAAATGTTCACAATTTTAGAACATGGCTTTTTTTTTTCTTTTTTTTTCTCTCTGTAAACTTATTAAAATATTCATTAATCAATTTAAAATCAATAAGAATCCTGTCGTTTTAATTTGACTGTGGTATTTCATAGCAGGAAAGCAAAGTATAGGTTCGCAAAACTAAAAGACGAGAAAGTTTTGGATACTGGATTGTCAAAACACTACGCAAAAATTTCCAGAAATTCCTAATTCACGACGGCTTACTGTTGCTATCTTTCTAAATCCCACCTGTGAAACAAGAAATAAAAATATGAAGTCAACAATTCCTAGTTAATTGTCACTAGTAGTCTTCGGTTTGAACTTTCTTTGTAATTTAATGGCGTGTGTGAAAAAATTCAAGGCTTGTCAAATATAGGTCCCTACAATTTATATTTCCTAGACATATATCCATCATTCTATAAATCTATGTGTAAAATCCAATTTCAAATTTAAATGATCAGTGGGATATAAGAGGTCATAGTATTCCTATGTTTTTACATCCTTGCCACTATAATTCATATTTTATTTATAATTTATTCCAAGCATTTCATGAACTGCCATAATTGTAATTAAAACTCCCTATTAATAGCATATCAATCACCCTATTTCTTTTGGTTGCCATTCCCTCTAACATATGACCCTTAAAATTGAAAATTAAACAAATATGTAAATTACATATCCAATAATGTACATATGAAAAATATAAATATAAATATATGTATAAAAATATAAGGTATATTATTTACCAAAAAAAATAAACAAAAATAGGTCAATTACTTTGTAATTGAAATTTCCGTACATTTTTCATAAATTAAAAATAAGTACACAATAATTTATAGAAAATAGGTACGTTGTATAATTGAAAGTTATGCATATTTTTATAAATTAAAAATAGGTACATTACTTATAAGTCTAATGGCAAGGATGTAAAAATATAGGAATACTATGACCTCTTATATCCTATTGATCATTTAAATTTGAAATTGGGTTTTACACATAGATTTATAGAATGATGGATATATGTCTAGGAAATATAAATTGTAGGGACCTATATTTGACAAGCCTTGAATTTTTTCACACACGCCATTAAATTACAAAGAAAGTTCAAACCGAAGACTACTAGTGACAATTAACTAGGAATTGTTGACTTCATATTTTTATTTCTTGTTTCACAGGTGGGATTTAGAAAGATAGCAACAGTAAGCCGTCGTGAATTAGGAATTTCTGGAAATTTTTGCGTAGTGTTTTGACAATCCAGTATCCAAAACTTTCTCGTCTTTTAGTTTTGCGAACCTATACTTTGCTTTCCTGCTATGAAATACCACAGTCAAATTAAAACGACAGGATTCTTATTGATTTTAAATTGATTAATGAATATTTTAATAAGTTTACAGAGAGAAAAAAAAAGAAAAAAAAAAGCCATGTTCTAAAATTGTGAACATTTGGCAACAAAGTGACTAGATTTAGTGAAATTAGCAACATGTAAGTACAAAATGTCTGTTGGCATGGTCTTTTTTCAATCAATGGATTATACATATATTCATTTATTGATTTACATTTCTCTATCTTGTGATTGTTTCAGGAGAAGGCATTGGGGTTGCTGCTCTGTTGATTATCATAATCCTTTTTTTTACTATATGCATATCAAGGAAAAGAATAATGGCCTTCCTCAAGAGAGATGAGAGGGATGAGTTTGATGTTGAGGCATTTATAAGGAACTATGGATCGCTTACTCCAAAGCGGTATACCTATGAAAATGTCATGAAAATGACAGACTCTTTCAGAGACAAAATAGGTAAAGGTGGATATGGAACTGTGTACAAAGGCAGGCTACCTGATGGGCTTCTGGTGGCGGTCAAAGTCCTAAGTGAGTCCAAGGGTAATGGAGGAGAAGATTTTATTAATGAAGTTGCTAGCATTGGTAGAACCTCCCATGTCAACATAGTCACTCTTTCTGGATTCTGTTATGAGGGGGACAAACGAGCTTTGATTTATGAATACATGCCTAATGGATCTCTGGATAATTTCATACATAAGCACGGGTCTGGAATGGCAAATTTTCGCTTAGAATGGAAAACACTATCTGAAATTGCAGTTGGTATTGCGCGAGGACTAGAATACCTACACCGTGGATGTAACACAAGAATTTTGCATTTTGACATCAAGCCACAGAACATTCTTTTGGACAAATATTTTTGCCCGAAAGTTGCTGATTTTGGCCTAGCCAAACTATGCAAAACGAAGGACAGTATTGTATCGATGATGGGTACAAGAGGAACTGCAGGATACATTGCACCAGAAGTGTTTAGTCGGAACTTTGGAGGAGTATCTCACAAATCTGATGTTTACAGCTACGGGATGTTGGTTCTTGAAATGGTTGGAGCAAAAAAGAATTTGGATTCGGGAGTGTCTCATACGAGTGAAATGTTTCCACATTATGTTTATAAAGATCTAGAGCTAGATAAGGATGAAAATACATTTGGGGATCCGGATATATCTGAGGAGGAAAAAGAAATAGCAAGAAAGATGATATTAGTAAGTCTCTGGTGCATTCAAACCATTCCTTCTGATAGGCCATCAATGAGGAAAGTTGTAGAGATGTTGGAAGGACCCCTTCATTCCTTGCAAATTGCACCAAAGCCTTTGTTGTTTTCTCCTACAATAGCTGCAGAAGAC